ATAGGCAGCAGATTTAAAACAAACAAAAGGAAGTATTTTTTCATACAACGCACAGTCAACCTGTGGAACTCCTTGCCAGAGATGTTGTGAAGGCCAAGACTACAACAGGGTTCAAAAAAGAGCTAGATAAGTTCTTGGAGGATAGGTCCATCAATGGCTATTAGCCAGGATGGGCAGCAATGGTGTCCCTAGTGTCTGTTTGCCACCAGCTGGGAATGGGCGACAGGGGATGGATCACTTGATGATTACCTGTTCTTTTCATTCCGTCTGGGGCACCTGGCATTGGCCACTGTCAGAAGACAGGATACTGGGCTGGATGGACCTTTGATCTGACGCAGTATGGCCATTCTTATGTAGTTTATTGACTTAAAAAAATACTTCAGCCAGCTTTGTACTCCAGATCTGAGGTGCACAGCAGCTGAAAGGATATGGGCGATAAGACTTTAACTTATATTTTTGGCATGGGCAATAGACCAGCTCCCAATGGCCTCATACTGTGACAAGACTCATACAGAGAAACACATAGGCCCCAAACTGTTCCCCAACTGTATAAGTCATCAAAGGAATTTTAAAATCAATTTGATGTTTGACAAAGAGCCAATGCAGCTCCTTCAAGATTAGTGACCGCAGCATTTTGACAGTGCTGGAAGCTATGCAGCATTTTCTCAGGAAAGCCATAAAGTAAAGCAGTATAATAGTCTATTTTTTAAGAGATCAGGGACACATGCACTACATCAGTCTGTGATGATAGCATTGGCTAAATTCCAGCTGTGTTCTGTGAGTGACAAATCAGACAGATAGAACAGTCTGTAGCACAGCCTTGCCCACATTTTAAACAGCAGAAGGAAGAATATGATCAGTTTCAACAGATTGTTTATATTGGGGACCTCCATTTAGTCACGCTATATGTAGGGAGCTGGAAAAATAAGAATAATTTTGATCACCAATTCAAGCTCAAATCCTTTTCTATATTCTTATTGGATTGGTAGTTTGGATAAATATAACTCTATGCTAGCAAAGCACAATTCTTTCCATAACGACTCTGTACTTATGCCAATACCCTGCAGCTTCCATTGCAGCATCTGAGCAAATCTGATATCAGCTAGTCCAGTAGAGATTACATCATGTGATAATATTACAGAATCACCAAAAGCTGCTCCCTTCTAACACTGAAGAAGGAATTTTTATTAGAATAAGGAAACAAAAAGCAGTGTAATTGCTCTTACTCAGGCTCTGTCTGCTTTACTGTACACACAGCATCTGCTTAGAACCTTCCCCAGCTTCTTCCTCATTAGCTTTGTGTTACAGTTTTAAATGAACAGTATGCATCCTCACTGCTATTTTCAGATCTCACAGGCTCAGAGTTTTCTGCAGTAAAAGCTACGTCAGAATCATTATGCACCTCTGACCAGGGAGACAGCTCAGAGAATGAGTGTTTAGAAATACAAGGGTCACACACTTGTGCTGGCCAGCTGCATATGAAATAAACAAGGGAAGGCCAATAAAAGAAATTTCCTCTCCATTAAACCTAGGCAAATAACTGCAGACATGTTTTTGTGAATATCTGCTTGACTTTCTTCAATGAACTCAGCCTTGGCCACGTTTGTACCCCATTCTGAATTTGCTTTTCATGAACGGTTTCAGAGGAACAGCCGTGTTAGTCTGTACAAGTACTCCTTTTCTTTTCATGAACATTCATGCAAAATTATTTGTCTGTTGAGACCGGACAATAAAGTATTTTTAAAAAATTGTAAAAAATATTGTGAACTATTAATACTGTTGAGGAAATCATGCTATTCTCACCAATAATCCAGAAGCTAAAAAAAAAAAAAAAATTGAAGCTGAAAATTATTTCTCTGCTCACATATATGTTCTAGATTTCCCAGGAGGATTCTATAATCAACGGTGTTAAATGCCGCTGACACCACTCAAACCAATTCTGAGTCAGAGATAACAGCACTTCCTCAGTATTTTGTGCTCATTGCTATTGTACACTTCTGAGAATTCAGTTCAGAATTTTCCAGCCTGGATTTAATCAGATGAACCTCATTTTTAAAAGAGCATTGCTTTTTCTTCCATCCTTGTTCCCATATTTATAAATTCAGATATTCTGCAATACTAAAGCTTTATGAGACACATTCATATGGATTCTCCAAACAGTATGATGGCTTGTTCAGAATATGAAAAATGTAGTTTTGAGAGTTAATTATCAGTGTTATTCAGAGAATGTTTGAAAGCATTATTCTAGGCTGGCATCGTGGTAAAGACGTAGGGCTGGTTGAGATCCATAGTCAGAACTGCCAATTATTTTTAAGCATTAAGAAGATGGATAGCAGGAAACTAACTAAATTGAAGTACAAAACCGTAAGAGTTAAGTAAACATGATAAGAAAGTGATCAGCAAATCTATACGCAACACAAATTAATAGAAGCAGAACCAAATATCAAAATCATTTCAAGACTATCCAGCGTGTAGCGTGTAAGGCGAATGGGGAACATCATGTGAAATCAAGCCATTTCATAAATAAAGTGAAGTATTTTGACAACAAAGTTGTGTTATGTGTCAGCATGAAAGATGCAATATTTTAGTACTGAAAGAGTAGAAGACTTCATAGCATTCATGGGAATAAAATCTGATTATTTTTATATGACTCCTAAAGGACTTTAGAGGGTGTGTCATGGAAGGTTAAAGGCAACAGGAAGTTATTAAATATTCAAAGAGCATGTGAGGAAGATGCACAGTAGAAATAATAATTGTAATAACTTTACAATAAAAACAATCACAATCTATGCAAAAAATACAGGCAAGTAGAACATGTCAGATAAAAGGAAGATCATTAAATGACAGTCTAGTTGTTTGAGTGTAATCATTTATCAGTAAAAAAAATTTTTGATCTAGTGCTAGGCAATATCAGACTAGTCTTAATGGTGATTAAACAGGAGGATGAAACTCCATGGCCAGGCAGGGCTCTATGGTGAACTCTCAAGTACTCAAAGGACAAGCAGTATAAATTATTGCAGAGAGAATCTTCCTTCTACGTGTCATAGAATCATAGAATCATAGAATAACAGAGTTGGAAGGGACTTCTGGAAGCCATCTAGTCCAACCCCCTGCCCAGAGCAGGACCAATCCCAACTAAATCATCCCAGCCAGGGTTTTGTCAAGCCTGACTTTAAAAACTTCTAAGGAAGGGGATTCCACCACCTCCCTAGGTAACACATTCCAGTGTTTCACCACCCTCCTAGTGAAAAAGTTTTTCCTAATATCCAACCTAAATCTCCCCCACTGCAACTTGAGACCATTACGCCTTGTCCTGTCATCTGCTATCACTGAGAATAGTCTAGATCCATCCTCTTTGGATCCACCTTTCAGGTAGTTAAAAGCAGCTATCAAATCCCCCCTCATTCTTCTCTTCCGTAGACTAAACAATCCCAGTTCCCTCAGCCTCTCCTCATAAGTCATGTGTTCCAGACCCCTAATCATTTTTGTTGCCCTTCGCTGGACTCTCTCCAGTTTCTCCACATCCTTCTTGTAGTGTGGGGCCCAAAACTGGACACAATACTCCAGATGAGGCCTCACCAGTGTCGAATAGAGGGGAACGATCATGTCCTTTGATCTGCTGGCATGAATAGAGGGGAACGATCACGTCATGTCATGTTTTCCCCCTTGAGGATTCTTCCCAGAGGCAAGTCAGGTTGGAGAGCTCCTGACAACATGTCTTCTGGGAGAACGGTGCTCTCTGTGGCAGCCAAGGCCAGGCGGCAATGCAGAGGTAAGGGGTCCAGTTCAGAAACCCGTTCCCTCTTGGGGTTCTGCAGCTGGGGCGGGGGGGAGAAACTGCCCCAGTACTTCTCCTAGATGAGAGAGAAGGCAAAAGCACCTCTCCCAAATGAAGGAATCCCCATGAGTTGAAACCCAGGGAAGGTTGGGGCCTTAAATTACCAGAGATATCTATTAGAAATATTACTGTAGCCTTTCCTAAGGAGAAAGGCTGGGGTGGAGGAATAGCATCATATGTAAATCCATAGAATCTGAATAAGATTCTGAATCTGGAACTATGTCTCTGCCCATCTACACCAGAAAAATGGGTAAAGCACAATGATAAACTGTGTATGTCAGCCCTTGCCGTCAGAGAGTTGCTGGATGTCTGCTTTGTAGGGTTGGGGGAGGAGAGGGGGGAGAACCAACAACCCACCAAGCCCACAGAAAGGCCCCAGGGTTGGGGGCGGAAAGATGTTGGAATTTGATATTTAGTATGGAAACCCAAGGAAACTTAGCTAACATGTGTGTCAGAACAAGAAATCCTCCACTCATTTCAATTACTCAAAATCTTGGTTAGCCATTGAAAGTGCATTTTTGAAACTTATGTAATTAAAAGGAGAGCAAGAGCCAAAAGGGAAATTACAAAAACTTATAAGCCGCATTGAGAAACTAAAATCATGATTCCTTTACATATCTTGCCACCATCTTATACAGATTTAGACAATCAGAAGAGAGCTTTTGATGGGCCAGATTTAGACCAATGTAAAACTGCACTAATTCTATTGGTTTCAGAAAACTTTACTTTGCACTTACACTACATACCTCACATCATAATCTGCCCCATTGTTAGTAGAGTGCTTTGAACATGTAAAGCATTATATAAATGCTCAGTTTTACTAAACTGGAAACACAGATCAGGCCTGTTGAAAGGTTTGTTAAGGTTTACAAACTTTTAGGGATGAATCTGTAGAGCACATTGGGAAATGCAGAGACAATAAGACAGGGCTTACCACACACCTTTCTGCCCTCTCCAATATTGGGAGCAGCTGCGAGTCCTGTTAGCCATGTCAGAGTTGCTCTGAATTGTGCCATCTTGTATCATTCCCTCAAGGACTATCAAGCTGGTGGAGTCTCCTTGAGCACAACGCACTGCATCTGTGCTTTGACCCCTTTCCAACACTGCCACTATGTTGGGGGGCTGGGAGAAATCTTCAGCCTCTCACTAAGCCCTGGTCTACACTAGGACTTTAGGTCGAATTTAGCAGCGTTAAATCGATTTAAACCTGCACCCGTCCACACAATGAAGCCCTTTATTTCGACTTAAAGGGCTCTTAAAATCGATTTCCTTACTCCACCCCTGACAAGTGGATTAGTGCTTAAATCGACGTTGCCGGCTCGAATTTGGGGTACTGTGGACACAATTCGATGGTATTGGCCTCCGGGAGCTATCCCAGAGTGCTCCATTCTGACCGCTCTGGACAGCGCTCTCAACTCAGATGCACTGGCCAGGTAGACAGGAAAAGAACCGCGAACTTTTGAATCTCATTTCCTGTTTGGCCAGCGTGGCAAGCTGCAGGTGACCATGCAGAGCTCATCAGCAGAGGTGACCATGATGGAGTCCCAGAATCGCAAAAGAGCTCCAGCATGGACCGAACGGGAGGTACGGGATCTGATCGCTGTTTGGGGAGAGGAATCCGTGCTATCAGAACTCCGTTCCAGTTTTCGAAATGCCAAAACCTTTGTGAAAATCTCCCAGGGCATGAAGGACAGAGGCCATAACAGGGACCCGAAGCAGTGCCGCGTGAAACTGAAGGAGCTGAGGCAAGCCTACCAGAAAACCAGAGAGGCGAACAGCCGCTCTGGGTCAGAGCCCCAAACATGCCGCTTCTATGATGAGCTGCATGCCATTTTAGGGGGTTCAGCCACCACTACCCCAGCCGTGTTGTTTGACTCCTTCAATGGAGATGGAGGCAATACGGAAGTAGGTTTTGGGGACGAAGAAGATGATGATGAGGAGGTTGTAGATAGCTCACAGCAAGCAAGCGGAGAAACCGGTTTTCCCAACAGCCAGGAACTGTTTCTCACCCTAGACCTGGAGCCAGTACCCCCCGAACCCACCCAAGGCTGCCTCCTGGACTCAGCAGGCGGAGAAGGGACCTCTGGTGAGTGTACCTTTTAAAATGCTATACATGGTTTAAAAGCAAGCATGTGAAAGGATTACTTTGCCCTGGCATTTGCGGTTCTGCCTTTGCAAAAGGTTTCTGGGGAGGGCAGCCTTATTTTGTCCTTCATGGTAGGACACTTTCCCACTCCAGGCCAGCAACACGTACTGGGGAATCACTGTTGAACAAAGCATTGCAGTGTATGTTTGCTGGCATTCAACCAAAATCCGTTCACACGGTGGGAGGAGTCAAAATGCGACCTTGTAACGAAAGCACATGTGCTATGTATGTAATGTTAACAGCAAGGTTTACCCTGAAAGAGTGTAGCGACTGTTTTATAAAATGTGTCTTTTTAAATACCGCTGTCCCTTTTTTTTTCTCCACCAGCTGCATGTGTTTCAATGATCACAGGATCTTCTCCTTCCCAGAGGCTAGTGAAGCTTAGAAAAAAAAAAACGCACTCGCGATGAAATGTTCTCCGAGCTCATGCTGTCCTCCCACACTGACAGAGCACAGACAAATGCGTGGAGGCAAATAATGTCAGAGTGCAGGAAAGCACAAAATGACCGGGAGGAGAGGTGGAGGGCTGAAGAGAGTAAGTGGCGGGCTGAAGACAGGGCTGAAGCTCAAAGGTGGCGGCAGCGTGATGAGAGGAGGCAGGATTCAATGCTGAGGCTGCTGCAGGACCAAACCAGTATGCTCCAGTGTATGGTTGAGCTGCAGCAAAGGCAGCTGGAGCACAGACTGCCACTGCAGCCCCTCTGTAACCAACCGCCCTCCTCCCCAAGTTCCATAGCCTCCACACCCAGACGCCCAAGAACGCGGTGGGGGGGCCTCCGGCCAACCAGCCACTCCACAACAGAGGATTGCCCCAAAAAAAGAAGGCTGTCATTCAATAAATTTTAAAGTTGTAAACTTTTAAAGTGCTGTGCTTAAAGTGCTGTGTGGCATTTTCCTTCCGTCCTCCACCACCCCTCCTGGGATACCTTGGTAGTCATCCCCCTATTTGTGTGATGAATGAATAACGAATGCATGAATGTGAAGCAACAATGACTTTATTGGCTCTGCAAGCAATGATTAAAGGGAGGAGGGGAGGGTGGTTAGCTTACAGGGAAGTAGAGTGAACCAAGGGGCGGGGGGGGTTCATCAAGGAGAAACAAACAGAACTTTCACACCGTAGCCTGGCCAGTCATGAAACTGTTTTTCAAAGCTTCTCTGATGCGTACCGCGCCCTCCTGTGCTCTTCTAACCGCCCTGGTGTCTGGCTGCGCGTAACCAGCAGCCAGGCGATTTGCCTCAACCTCCCACCCCGCCATAAACGTCTCCCCCTTACTCTCACAGATATTGTGGAGCACACAGCAAGCAGTAATAACAGTGGGAATATTGGTTTCGCTGAGGTCTAAGCGAGTCAGTAAACTGCGCCAGCGCGCCTTTAAACGTCCAAATGCACATTCTACCACCATTCTGCACTTGCTCAGCCTGTAGTTGAACAGCTCCTGACCACTGTCCAGGCTGCCTGTGTACGGCTTCATGAGCCATGGCATTAAGGGGTAGGCTGGGTCCCCAAGGATACATATAGGCATTTCAACATCCCCAACAGTTATTTTCTGGTCTGGGAATAAAGTCCCTTCCTGCAGCTTTTGAAACAGACCAGAGTTCCTGAAGATGCGAGCATCATGCACCTTTCCCGGCCATCCCACGTTGATGTTGGTGAAACGTCCCTTGTAATCCACCAGAGCTTGCAGCACTATCGAAAAGTACCCCTTGCGGTTTATGTACTCGGCGGCTTGGTGCTCCGGTGCCAAGATAGGGATATGGGTTCCGTCTATAGCCCCACCACAGTTAGGGAATCCCATTGCAGCAAAGCCATCCACTATGACCTGCACATTTCCCAGGGTCACTACCCTTGATATCAGCAGATCTTTGATTGCGTGGGCTACTTGCATCACAGCAGCCCCTACAGTAGATTTGCCCACTCCAAATTGATTCCCAACTGACCGGTAGCTGTCTGGCGTTGCAAGCTTCCACAGGGCTATCGCCACTCGCTTCTCAACTGTGAGGGCTGCTCTCATCTTGGTATTCATGCGCTTCAGGGCAGGGGAAAGCAAGTCACAAAGTTCCATGAAAGTGCCCTTACGCATGCGAAAGTTTCGTAGCCACTGGGAATCGTCCCAGACCTGCAACACTATGCGGTCCCACCAGTCTGTGCTTGTTTCCCGAGCCCAGAATCGGCGTTCCACAGCATGAACCTGCCCCATTAGCACCATGATGCATGCATTGTCAGGGCCCATGCTTTCAGAGAAATCTGTGTCCATGTCCTGATCACTCACGGGACCGCGCTGACGTCGCCTCCTCGCCCGGTATCGCGTTGCCATGTTCTGGTGCTGCATATACTGCTGGATAATGCGTGTGGTGGTTAATGTGCTCCTAATTGCCAAAGTGAGCTGAGCGGGCTCCATGCTTGCCGTGGTATGGCGTCCGCACAGAAAAAAGGCGCGGAACGATTGTCTGCCGTTGCTCTGACGGAGGGAGGGGCGACTGACGACACGGCTTACAGGGTTGGCTTCAGGGAGCTAAAATCAACAAAGGGGGTGCCTGTACATCAAGGAGTATTTCAGGCAGGACTGCACGGAGGGTTCCAATAAGAAATGGTGCACCTAAGTTATCGTTGTTATTGGAACAAGGAGGTTAGCCTGGCCTCTGATTGATACATGGCTAGATTTACCTCGCTGCACCTTCTCTGTGAGTGACGGCAGTGTGACCTAGAGGAATGAGTCCCCTAGACAGGGGAGGAGGCAAATGAGTACAAAACAAATCTGGTCTATTTCTTGTTTTGACTCACTCCATCTATCTTTTACATCTTTGGCTGGCAGCAGACGGTGCAGAAGGACTGCATGCCATCCACATCTCATGGCTGCTCGGCAGAAGATGGTACAGTACGACTGCTAGCAGTCCGTATCGCCTGCCCGCTCACCATAAGACGGTTCAATAGGACTGACTGCAGGACTAAAGAGAATGACCTGGTCAAGTCACTCCAAATTTAGTCCCTGCGCCCATGTCTGCCCAGGCGCTCCCAGCCGACGCGGCCAGGAGCACCTCGGACACGATGAGGACGACTACCAATCGTATTGCACCATCTGCTGCCAGAAGGCAAGGGGTTGCTGCTACTGTGCAGCAAAGCCGTACCGCGTCTGCCAGCACCCAGGAGACATAGGGTGACGGTTACCTGAGCGGGCTCCATGCTTGCTGTGGTATGGCATCTGCACAGGTAACTCAGGAAAAAAGGCGCGAAATGATTGTCTGCCCTTGCTTTCACGGAGGGAGGGAGGGAACGGGGGCCTGACGACACGTACCCAGAACCACCCGCGACAATGTTTTAGCCCCATCAGAGTGCTCCATTGTGACTGCTCTGGACAGCACTCTCAGATGCCCGATTGTTTGCCATTGCTCTGACGGAGGGAGGGGTGCTTACAGGGTTGGCTTCAGGGAGCTAAAATCAACAAAGGGGGTGGCTTTACATCAAGGAGTATTTCAGGCAGGACTGCATGGAGGGTTCCAATAAGAAATGGTGCACCTAAGTTATTGTCCTTATTGGAGCAAGAAGGTTAGCCTGGCCTCTGATTGATACATGGCTAGATTTACCTCGCTGCACCTTCTCTGTAAGTGACTGCAGTGTGATCTAGAAGAATGAGTCCCCTAGACAGGGGAGGGGGGGAAGCAAATGAGTACAAAACAAATCTGGTCTATTTCTTGTTTTGACCCACTCCATCTATCTTTTACATCTTTGGCTGGCAGCAGACGGTGCAGAAGGACTGCATGCCATCCACATCTCATGGCTGCTCGGCAGAAGATGGTACAGTACGACTGCTAGCAGTCCGTATCGCCTGCCCGCTCACCATAAGACGGTTCAATAGGACTGACTGCAGGACTAAAGAGAATGACCTGGTCAAGTCACTCCAAATTTAGTCCCTGTGCCCATGTCTGCCCAGGCGCTCCTGATCGACCTCACAGAGGCGACCAGGAGCACCTCAGACATGACGATGACGGCTACCAGTCGTACTGTACCGTCTGCTGCCACAAGGCAAGGGGTTGCTGCTACTGTGTAGCAATGCCGTACCGCGTCTGCCAGCACCCAGGAGACATAGGGTGAGACATAGCCTGAGCGGGCTCCATGCTTGCCGTGGTATGGCGTCTGCACAGGTAACTCAGGAAAAAAGGCGTGAAATGATTGTCTGCCCTTGCTTTCACGGGGGGAGGGAGGGAACGGGGGGCTGACGATATGTACCCAGAACCACCCGTGACAATGTTTTAGCCCCATCAGGCATTGGGATCTCAACCCAGAATTCCAATGGGCAGCGGAGACTGCGGGAACTGTGGGATAGCTACCCACAGTGCAACGCTCCGGAAGTCGACGCTTGCCTCGGTACTGTGGAAGCGCTCCGCCGAGTTAATGCACTTAATGCACTTAGAGCATTTTCTGTGGGGACACACACACTCGAATTTATAAAACCGATTTCTAAAAAACCGACTTCTATAAATTCGACCTTATTCCGTAGTGTAGACATACCCTAAGAGCAGTTTTGATTCCTCTGTCTGACAAAAGGGACTCTGCGGGGCCTAGTATCTCGTGAACCTCTGGGAAGTTTGAGTGAATCTGGGCTGAGTTATAGTTTTATGGAAAGTTGCCACTGTGACAGTATTTAGCCTTGAAACTTTGGGTTAGTTTGAAACCCTCCTGAATTGAAAGGGAAGAAACAATTCTGCTGACACTCTGCAAACAGAACCACAGAACTTCACTCATAAATTTACCTAGAAGTCACACTTACAGGCAAAACTACAGTGTTCCCACAAGGAAGAATATTCTTTATATTCTTCTACTAAAAGTGCAAGAGAAAAACCGTACCAAGTTCTTCACAGAAGACTGTCACCCTTTATGCACTGATAATTACATCAGCTGAAAATTAAAAATCTAGATTACTAAAAGCACGTTTTCCTCTGCTGTTTTCAGTGGAAGGGTTTGATTTCTTTCTGGCTTTGCAGCATTTCATATTTGTTTATAGAATTAGTAGAAATGACAGACCTCTCTCTTTTTCCATAAATAAAATTAATTAGTAAATGTAACTTGCAGAACAAACAAAGACTCATTTTGGGTAAATATTAGAAGAATGGGGGAGAGAGAGCTAAGTGGTCTCACCAAGCACTGTGTACAAGCAGAAATGATAAGATGCATTTTATATCACACAATGAAAGCTCTCCAGTTACACACAGTATTCATTGTTTGAGTTTCTGTTGGTGAAATGGACTGCTGTTTTTTTTTCTAGTTCATATCTATTTGATTGCTATTTTGTTTAGTTGCAGTTTCAGTGCATTTGGTGATTAAATCTTCCTGTAGGATGTGTTTTCCAAATGCAAACACGCTAGCGAGGCTATCTTTGTGTATTAATTTAGATTTGGTATATTTTGGCAGGTGGCAGTTTTATGTATTATTACTGTATATAATGAAAAGAATGTCTGGACTGTAGATTGGGAGAATTACTGGGTCAAGTTGTCTGCTGCTATAAATAATCAATAGAATTACGCCCAAGGGAGAATATGGTGTGTTGAGTCCGAGGGCCTTATTCTATCTCACTTACCCTTCAGTCTGCAGAGTTACAGAGTTACACTGGGTAAAACTGAGGAAAATGAGATTGGATTCAGGCCCTGAGTGCAGTACAATCAACTTCCAATTACGGAGCGCACCCATTCACAAAAGAGCAAAATTTAGCTTTTACCATGTGGAGTCAGAGATGGGAGGAATGGACCAGTGTTGACTAGTTGTTAGACCTCAGAACCATCTTTCCTGTGCAGAGCAC